TCTTTTCTCTCCTTCCCCCTTTCTCTCTCTCTCTCTCTCTCTCTCTCTCTCTCTCTCTCTCTCTCTCTTCTCTCTCTCTCTCTCTCTCTCTCTCTCTCTCTCTCTCTCTCTCTCTCTCTCTCTCTCTAAAGAAAACTGTCATGCAACGTTAGTGACGAAATCAGAAGAGTCAGTGAGATTTAAATAATTTAAAACTCAATGGGATTTAAAACTATTCAGCGCTGGATGAGAACAGTTTATGTTCTCTGATGTATAGTTTTGTTTCTGTATAATATTCATCGATAAAAAGATATTCGGAGATATTATTACATATCATGAGATCCCTTGTTCTTAGAAAGATTAGTTTTTTATATTCATTTATATATAAACATGATGTAAATATTTTTCTCATCGAGATAAAAAAATGTGGAAGGGTCTACTCATTATGATAATAGTTGTGTTCGGGCCTATAATAGCATGGTATATAATGTTGCTGTTGCTTTTAATTGCTATTTTTATTTTATTAATTGTTATTAACCTTGTCATCATCATATTCATATTCATTGTTACTTCATTAACATCACCAAAATCATTTTTCGGCAATTCAAATATATGAATAACAGCAAATTCATAACAAATATAAAACAGTACCATCACTTTTATAACGTTTCAGTCTCAGTACTATGTATGCATATGTTCTTGTCGTAAACGTTTTACAAGGTATTTATTTCCGAAAAAAATATAAATGAGTTTCACCAAATTACCTAAGAACAGACCACTAGTAGTTGCCAGCGTTTTATTTCATCATCCTAACGCCATTATTAGCTGTTATTGCTAACCATTACGTTTTTATCAATATTGTCTGTTATCAGTATTTCATTGCCCTTGTCACAGTTACCTTGATCAACACTCGTCATCACTATCATCACCATTGTCACCAACACCACACTCGCCATAACAACAGATAGATTAATATATCTCTTCTTGACTTCCTCCCTCCCTTTTCTCACTATTTCCTGCCGTCCTCTCTCCCTCCCTCTCTCTTCCTTCCTCTTTCCCTCTTTTCTTCCTCCTTCCCTCCCGCAGGTGATGCTGAGCTAGAACAATGGACATTCTCACCTTCGCCGCCAATGCTGTTTTCAGTTCCGACCAGGATGAAGGTAAGGTCACGAGCCAAGGTTAGGGGTCAGATATGAAAAGGGGTCAGGGGTCAAGGGGTCAAATATTAAAAGGGGTCAGGGGTCAAATATGAAAAGGGGTCAGGGGTCAAATATTAAGAGGGATCAAGGGTCAAATGTAAAGAGGGGTCAGATATTAAGAGTGGTTAGGGGTTAGATATGAAAAGGGTCAGGGATCAAATATTGAGAGAGATCAGACATGGAAAGAAGTCGGGGGTCAAATATTGAGAGGTCAGTTATGAAAAGGGGTGAGGGGTTTAATGGGCTTACTGGTGTTTGGGAAAATTTGGTTGGGCATTTGTAGAATACTTCTCTTTGTCTTTCTTTGCTCGTTTTGAATTTTGTGAGCGTTATGTTTTGTATTTTTTATGTAACTTTTTTATATTGCCAAGAGAAATGAGTTGATAGTGATTCGTAATTCGGTCACGATCCATTCATGGTTAATTTTTTTACTTTGTGTCAGGATGTAATGTAGCCAACTATTTTTTTGTACGTTCAGTCAATAAAATATCAGAAGTCCTCATAATGGTGGTGGTGATGAGGAAGAGGACGATGATGATAATGATAACTTTAATAATAGCAATGTCAATCTTCAAAATGGAAGGAAATTGAAATTGGCAATGTGATAATAAAACATAAGAGCAATGACAAGTGCAAATGACAACAATGATAATTATGATGGCCAAAGTTTCAACAATGGTAATGCCAACAGCGATACTAATAACAATAATACCTATGATTAGTAATAGGCCCAATGCTGAAAATAACAACTTTGATGATGATGACAATAATAATAACAACAATGAAAATGATAATGATAATACTAACAAACAACAATGATGATAATAACAAAAACAACAATAATAATAATACCCGGCAAGACCCGTCCGCACAACTAACGCCCTCTGGCCGCCCTCAGAGCTGTGCATCCCCCTCACGCCCACGAAGGGGAGGAGGCCCGTCTTCGGAGAGCTCACCAACACCATCAACCTTTCCCCGGAGAAGCTCAATGACTCCTCCTCGCTCAGGGCTCTCTTCACGGCACCCACGCTCACCACGCCCAAGACGAAGGCCAAGGGAGGGGTTGCCGCGGGCGCTGCTGGCTCTAACACTCCTGGGTAAGTTGGGGGCGATAGGAAAAGGAGGAGAAGGAGGCGGTGCTGGGAGTTTATGGATTCTTATTGGATGTTTGGGTCGTGGGTTTCTTGCGTGTGCATAAGAGAGAAAAATAGAGACAGACAAACAGAGAGAGAGAGAGAGAGAGATCAGGAGCCCATTTATCAAGAGGTTCCCCTTCCAGATCGCGGAGCCTCGGACGTGGTCCCCATGGCAAGTCTCTGTCG